CCAAACACCGGGCTCGGTTCAGTCCCAAACACCGGGCTCGGTTCAATCCCAAGCACCGGGCTCAGATCAATCCCAAACACCGGGCTCGGATCCATCCCAAACACCGGGCTCGGTTCAATCCCAAACACCGGGCTCTGTTCAATCCCAAACACCGGGCTCGGATCCATCCCAAGCACCGGGCTCGGTTCAATCCCAGCCACGTTCCCGCCTGGGCAGTCCCGGGAGCATTTCCCGGCCCCTCGGAGCCGCTGTTCCGTCCCTGTTCCAAACCCCACCGCAGCCGGGTTTGGGTGCCAGGCCTCTCCTCCGTCCCTCATTGTCCCCTCCCGGTGTCCCCTTTGCCACCAGTTCTGGGGGCTCCCGAGCACTGTGGGGTGCCGGGACGGACACTTTGAACCCACAGATTTGGGGCTTTGAGTCAAAACAACCCCAAATCCGGGGAGAACCGACGGAAAACGGGACCGTGGCCAGACCCCCGGAACCCCCGGAACCCCCGGGGGCTGACGGTGACACCGAGGCGGGGGCGATGTCCCCGGACCCCCGGAACCCCCGGGGGCTGACGGTGACACCGAGGCGGGGGCGATGTCCCCGCTTTAACTCGGCGCTGTCCCCGTTCCCCCGCTGTCCCCAGCCCGGGCGGTGACAGCGGCCCCGAGCTGTGGACAGATAAAAGGTGACACGCGGGGCCGGGAAGGTGCCGGGGTGTTGTTGTGGGGGGCTGCATCCATCCCCTCCTTTTCCAGAGGTGTTGGATGCTGCCGCCGTTTCCTGTCGTCCTGGTGCAGATCAGAGCGAGGGGATCCGGGGGGGGCTGGATCCTTCCCTGGGGGGCTCCCATCTCTCCCTTCCCCTCCTTAATTCTCTTTATTTCCACATTTCCCTCTCCCGAGCTCACCCCCGGATTGTCCCTCCGCTTTCCCACAACACCCACGGAAATTAAAACTCCCAAACATCTCCACTCACTTTCCCCGAACCCCCAAAATCTTTATTTTTTTAAGCCCAAATCCACCACGCTGGGATGGGGAAACTGAGGCAGGGCTGTCTCCTCACCCCGGGGGCGCCTTCCCCCCTCCCCGGGCACAGCTTTTCCCTCCGCGCTCTTTTCTTGTCTATTCAGCTCTTTTTTTGTCACCTGCTTCTCTCTGCCACCGTTTTTTTTGGGTGTGAAAAGCGCCTTATCGGCATTTTCCATCTCCGGGTGATTTTCTGGTGTTTCTGCCGCGGTCTGCGTGGGGCGCGGGTCCCCCCGCGTCCCGATCTTCCTCTCTTTATTTTTCTTTTTTTTTTTTTTGGTTTCTTTGCTGAGGTTTAGATTTTTATTTCGGCTTTCTGAGCTCGCGGTTGTTCCCTCTTGCTCTCCCTCCCGCGAAAAACCGGGAGCCAAATCTTGAGGGAAGCGCTGGGAAGAGCAGGGTGAGGATTTGGGGGGGTCGGTCCAGCCCTCCCCCTTCCCCGCCCGGCGTTTTTGGGGGGATTCTGGGGCTTTTAATGATTCTTGCACCCATGGGTGCACGTCCCCAGCCCTGGCTCCTCCAGCTCTGCAGCAAAAAGGGGTCTGGGGGACACAAAGGTGACATTCTGTGTGTGTGTCCCGGGGTTTTTGGTTTTTCCTTCTTTTCCTTCTTCCTTTCCTTCTTTTCCTCCTTTTCCTTCTTCCTTTCCTTCTTTTCCTCCTTTTCCGTTTTTTCTTTTTTATCCTCCCTTCTTTCCCTTTTCCTCCTTCTCTTTCTTTTCCTCCTTCTCTTTCTTTTCCTTCTTTTCTTTTCCTTCTTTTTTCCTCTTTTTCTCCCTTTCTTCCCTTTCACTCTTTCCCTTTCCCTCCTTTTCCTTCTTTTCATCCTTTTCCATCTTTTTTTTATTCTCCCTTCTTTTCCTCCTTCTTTTTATTTTCTTTCTTTTCCTCTTTCTTTTTCTTCTTTTTCTTTTCCTCCTTTCCCCCCTTCTCTTTCTTTTCTTTCTTTTCTTTTCCTTCTTTTTCTTTTCCTCCTTTCCCTCCTTCTCTTTCTTTTCTTTCTTTTCTTTCCTTCTTTTCCTTCTTTTCCTTTTCCTCCTTTCCCTCCTTCTCTTTCTTTTCCTTCTTTATTTTCCCTTCCTTTCCCTTTTTCCTCTTTTTCCTCCCTTCCCTCCCTTTCACTCTTTCCCTTTCCCTCCTTTTCCTTCTCCCCTTCACCTCTCCATATTCCCTCCCTTCACATTTCCCATTTTTTCCCCCCTCTCTCTCTATCCTTTTCCTCCTTCCCCCCCCACTCTTTCCCCTCCTTTCCCTCATTTTTTTCCTCACTTTCTCCTCCTCCTTTCCCACCTCTCGGTGGGTCTCTGTGCCCCGGGGGTCTCGGTCCGGGCCCGCCGCTGTCAGCTGCGGTTACGAGCGGCGGCTCCGGGTCCCGGCGGTGTCACAACGGCTCAGCGGGACCGCGCCGAGCTCCGGTCCCCGCGGGGCTCTTCTCCCTCCGCATCCCCGCCGAGAATCCCGGCTCGGAAAGCGACACCAGCTTGGGGCACAATTGATGATTTTGGCAGCGATTCCGAGAGCGGGGAGGGAGGGGGGAGCAGCGCCCGCCCCATCCCGGCTGCTCCCGGTGCCGGATCCGCGGCCGCTTTTCCCTTTTTGAGTTAGAAAATTGGATTTGGGTTGGTTTGGAGTCGGTTCTGGGGGTGACAGCGGGGTTGTGTCACCCTCAGAGCCACCGCGGCCCCTTTGGGAATTGTCCTCTGGATCTGGTGGTGTCGCCAGGGGTGGAGAGAGGGAAATTCAAACACCTTGAGGTGGCTTTTTTATTTCCCCTGGCTCATAATTTCCTTAGGAATTCCCTGCAGGAATGCTGGAAGCGCCATCCAGGCGATAACACCAAACCCTTTTTTCCTTGTATTTATTAAAAAAAAAACAAACCCAAAACAAAACAACCAAAATTCCAGGGTTAAGCCCCGCTGGAGGATTTAATCCCCGCTGAAGGATTTAACCCCTGCCGAGGGATTTAGCGGGATTTAATCCCCGCTGAAGGATTTTTCCCGGCTGAATCCCGGTTTTCCTTTGCTCGGCAGGGTGAACCTGGCGCTGGCCTACACGGAGCTGACGGAGGAGCTGTGCCGGCTGCGGAACCTCAGCTCCCTGCAGAGCCAAATCCTGCGGGCGCTGCTGCAGGAAAAGAGCCTCAACGGCGGTGAGGGGGCAGCGGGAGGGGATGGGGGCACAAACACCGGGAAAAGGGGGAAAACCACTGGGAAAAGGGGGAAAAAACACCGGGAAAAGGGGGCAAAAAACACCGGGAATTGGGGAGAAAAACACCGGGAAAAGGGGGGTAAAAACACTGGGGAAAGGGGGAAAAACACCAGGAAAAGGAGGTACAAACACCGGGAACTGGGGAAAAAACACCGGGAATTGGGGAGAAAAACATCGGGAAAAGGGGGAAAACACCAGGAAAAGGGGGCACAAACACCGGGAATTGGGGGAAAAAAACACTGGGAAAAGGGGAGAAAAACACTGGGAAAAGAGGGGAAAAGCACCGGGAATTGGGGGAAAAAACCACCCGGAAAAGGGGGAAAAAACACCGGGAAAAGGGGGGAAAAACACCAGGAAAAGGGGGAAAAACACCGGGAATTGGGGATGGGGGCACAAACACCGGGAAAAGGGGGCAAAAACACCGGGAACTTGGGGCACAAACCCCGGGAATTTGGGGTACAAACACCGGGAATTGGGGATGGGGGACCTCGTGCTGTGGGTGGGGATGAGCTCCTGAGGGTGTCGGTCCTCAAGGGTGTCCAGCCCTGGGAGTATCCACGTGTGGGATCATCCCTACCTGGGAATATCCATCCCAAAATGTCCATACCTGGGAGTATCCATCCCAAAATGTCCATACCTGGGAGTATCCATCCCAAAATGTCCAGCCATGGGAGTATCCATCCCAAAATGTCCATACCTGGGAATATCCATCCCAAAATATCCCTACCTGGGAGTATCCATCCCAAAATGTCCCTACCTGGGAATATTCATCCCAAAATGTCCATACCTGGGAATATCCATCCCAAAATGCCCCTACCTGGGAGTATCCATCCCAAAATGTCCAGCCATGGGAGTATCCATCCCAAAATGTCCAGCCCTGGGAGTATCCATGTGTGGGATCATCCCTACCTGGGAATATCCATCCCAAAATGTCCAGCCCTGGGAGTATCCATGCCTGGGAACATCCCATCCCAAGAATATTCACCCCTAGGAGTATCCCACACCTGGGGGCACCCATATCTGGGAGCATCCCATCCCAAGAGCTTCCATACCTTGGGCTATCCAACCCCAAGAGCATCGATCCCTGGGGAATCCATCCCTGGGGAATCCATCCCTGGGGAATCTCCATCCCTGGGGAATCTCCATCCCTGGGGAATCTCCATCCCTGGGGAATCCATCCCTGGGGAATCTCCATCCCTGGGGAATCCATCCCTGGGATGATCCATCCCTGGGGAATCTCCTCCATCCCTGGGACGATCTATCCCTGGGACAATCTATCCCTGGGAGGATCCAGAATCCCCCCTCCCTCCGGGGGTCCCCACAGTTGCATCCCCCAGTCCGTCCGGGCTGCTCCTGGATGCCGAGGCACATTTTCCACACTTATTTCCACACTTATTTCCACACTTATTTCAACATTTATTTCCACATTTATTTCCACATTTATTTCCACATTTATTTCCACATTTATTTCCACATTTCCCAAGCCGCCGAGCTAACCCGGAGCATTTCCCGTGTGTCCCCCCTTGTCCCCCGCCAGGCCAGCGCCACTCCCCGCTGTCCCAGTGCCACTCCCCGGCTCAGCAGCGCCGCTCGCCAGCCCCTCAGTGCCCCTCGCCCGTTCCTCCGGGACGCTCCCAGTGCCAATCTCCCGCCCTCCAACGCCGCTCGCCGGGACCCCCAAGCCAATCTCCGGCCCAGCAGCGCCGCTCGCCAGCC